TATGGAGCACTGTTTTTTTTTAAAAATAAAAACAAAGATACTAAAGAACCCCGGATTATTTACCTAACGTGTTCTTTCCTATTTTTACATATTTGCACACACACACACACACACACACACACACACACACACACACACACACATATATATATATATATATATATATATATATATATATATATATATATATATATATATATATATATATATATATATATATATATATATATATATATATATATATATATATATATATATATATAAAATTACTCTGTAATTACGAGTTTAGCTAATGTAATATTTTTCTATTGATGGAAATATATTGTAGCTATTTTTGATGAATAAAACTTTTCTCTGTTATTGTATTGGTGTGTTTCACCTACAATTTACAACACATATTTATGCAATAAATTTATTATAATTTTCATTTCAATGTATAATTATGTCTTCTGTTCAAGTTTGGATTTTTTATGTATATTGTAACAGAGTACGACCATATTTTACATAATTGTAACATTATATATATCCAGGCGTCGAAAATCTTTGATTCAAACCCTGTTGAGGGGAAGTTTCATGAAAATTGTAAGGTTTTAGTTTTTTGAGAAATATGTGTTATATAGCGGGAAGTACATTGCAACATTTAACTCTACTCAATTAGTAAATATGAAATAAAACTGCATTGTCAGTTTTAGGATTTAATACTTTCGCGTCGTTTTTATATACTTTATTGTATATTATTTATATTTTTCCTGTGCCTCACGTGATAATTAGCATCTGCTAAAATGAATGAAGATACACGATTGGATGACATTTATCCTCTCCGATTCGTCTCAACTAACCAAACAGATCTAATAATTATAAAACTATAGGCAGAAATGTAACCGACTTCCATCTCATCATTAAGGCCCATGAAAAGAGAAAGGACGACTGGTAAGAACAAACGTCTCAAGCAAACAAAGACAATATTGTTAATTCTACAAGATTCATGATACCACTTCTTTGTTCTTCGCTGCCATAGCATTACACCTGAGACATTAACCACCGCTTATAGATTTTTCTTTTACAAGAGATGCAATTCGCGGTCTCAGGATCAGCAATATTATTGGTCCTATGTCTGCTTCTAGGAAAGTTGGTTCACTATGTCGTGTGAGACAATTTTTCTTTTGAATCTATCTTACATATTTATAAGACTCTCCAAGTTTTTGTTGATTTCTGCTGTAGCTAGATTAAGTCACTGGATTACTTCAACCAATGTTTTTATTTACTGGGCCTTGTGGACGTATATCACCAGAAGATAGAGTGTAGAACGGCCGAAACGTCATGAATATGACGATAAAAATGAGGACAACTGTCTGAACACTTGTAAGTAGTGTAAATTCATACTTGTAAGTGTACAAGATCATTGCATTTTTTTTTCCTTTTCAAATTATCGGCTGAATTTCAGTCACTAATATTTCCAGGCACCATAACGATGACCTTCAAATAAGGTTTCTCTAACAAAAGTCCGATATTCGAAGAATTTCACACTACGACAGTCAGTTTTGTGTTGACACTCAGTTTTAAACATTATTTTTTTTCTGGACTATAAAGTTGTTTCTGATATTTCCAGCTTCATGTTTAAATGAATTCACAAATGATTTTCAAGTAGAGAATCTCCAAGAAGATATTCATCTTTCACAGAGAGGACCCGCCATGGCACGTAGACAGCCTTGGTAAGGAGGATGTTCCACTCAGACAGTTTCACTTTGTGAAACGGACTCCCGAGAGGATGCTTCCTTGATCGTTACAATCACAACCTCTTCAATTATATGGTCAACTATTACCACTCCTACATATTCATCACTTACCCCCTCCTTGTACGCTCTTACGACAACCCTCTATTTTGAGTGGCTCTTGGATCTTGTATTAGGGGAATAATTGGATAAAAATGATTAATTTTTTCTGAAAATAATTACAGAATGTTATGTAAGATTCCACCAAACTTTTACTAGATTCCATGAAGTTTATTTATTTTGGACAATTTTTATTTTATTTTATTTATTTGCAATATCTGAATTTTCGCTAATTCCTTAAAAGAGAAACTTGAATATAAGTGTTTAGAAAACGATTTATTGACGCTTTGTCATACCAGTATTATCAGTACCAAGTAATTCAGTATTACATGCTGCATGGTTGGGTCATCGGCGATTAAGCCGGTTTACCCACCTGGTTTTTCTGGTAAGGATAGGATTGAACGGAAGACCTCTCAATGTGCAGATAAACCTTCTTGCATGAGTCAACAGTAATGTAGCACAGTAGGTGTAGACTGGGTTCCATAGCTACGGATGTAGCCGGCGCAGTGATAAAATGCAAAGAAGAATCTGTAATGTTACTGGTCCTAACCTGGCATCAGGTCTTTCCAATCGCCGTAATGTAGATTCCCTCTGCCTTGTCTATATAGTAAATATATTTTCTACAAACCGCATGATCGTTTTATTAATGCAATCAAATTTATACACTTTTCATTGTTTTCGTTTTACAAAATTATTACAGTATTAGTCACATTTATTCCTACCGAAAAAGAAATCCAATGAAATTTGGATGGGAAAGTTTTGGTTTCCTATTTTAAGAATATTCATTGTCCTCAAATATGATTTATATTCCAACTATAAAACAAAATCATCCAATAAATATAGGAGAGGGGAGAAAAAGGTTTTTAATAATTTCTGAGCTTTATTACTTTTTATAGAAAAATAATGAATGGAATCTTGCATAAAACTGATACATTTTTCAACTTCAGATTTGACATGAGATAACTTCATATTTGAAATCTGGTAAATTGTCTTTCTTAAACGAGATCAGTTAGTACGAAAATTATAAAAAGACAAAAATCTACAAAAGAAGAGAAAACAAAAGTTGATCAAACACAAGATATCTTACTGTTTATAATAAAATATTCCGAAATATATTTGTCAAATCACATTTGGCATTGGGCGCCTGGAAATCCGCCATGTCAATTTTAATGGAACACCACTGAGTCATTTGTTGAAAACTTGCCACTCATTTGAATTGTTTAGTTCATATTACTACTACTACTAATCGTTAGCTCCAAACTCCAGATAAAACAGATCAAGGCTACATTTGCATAATATTCTGCATGTGAGCTTCGCCATCAAAGGACAAGAATGTCCATGTTTATATTTATATTTATACATACTCATAGACACCGTCAACATAACCGTTACCGTTCATGCAATAACCATTAGAATAGTAGAATAGGCCTTATACACATAATGAACCATTCACCGGCAGCACTTTTACCCATAAATATAGCATACCTTGAAAACTATGTTTTATCATATATATATTATAAAAAACTATTTCACTTGTTGGGTATTGTGGCACGTGGTGTCTCTTCCTTACTTTGCTCGATTCAGCAGCAGCAGCGAAAATAATCAGCAGGGTACAACCAGAAGTCCCTGAGATTATAAAAGCCTTGGCCGAGCCCTATTCGGACTCTTTTCCATTCAATTCTTACCTCACATGCTCGATGGTAAACCATCATCTCTCAAATGTGTCTCTATCTTCAGGCAGAGTGTGACTCAATTGCAACAGAGACACAACTGTGGAAAATAATATTTTAAGGTGCCCAACTCTGGGGAACAGTTGTCCGAGGCTGCACCCTCTCATTGCACTAGAGAGAGGGATAGGTGCTAGCCATCGAGACCGGCACGACCGACGGTTGCGGGGGCTTGGGGAGTTTTTCTCCTAGGTCTGGTTGTACGCGCTCAGGTTTCCTACAATAAATCGCATCACATCTCAGAGAGACGAGGTACATATCCTTTTTTATTCAATTTCAGCTGCCTCTATACCCACAACAAACTGTCTCTTTCTTTTTTGCACCTTCCTTTTAAGCGGCCCCTACACTCAATGCGCGCTTTCTTTTCCATTTCTTATTTTTCACTTTCTCCCTTCGAAACACCCACCAAAGGAAACTACACTCAACCCTTGCTGCAAAAGACGAAGACTGTTCTATCAGTTTCACACTTGGATTTCTTGTTCTTCCCGTGGGAACTAGCGGAGAAATATCTCTCAACATAAACAATTCCTACATTCAAGAACATTGTTAACTGGGAAAACTCCCCTTACATTACCTACTATTATTTTTCAACCAACTGTTGAACAGTTATTTTCAAGTTTTTGGGCGCTTCCTTTATTCCACTCACATTGCCGAGCACAAACGCACACGCAACCGGGAAAATGCCAACAATATATATATATATATATATATATATATATATATATATATATATATATATATATATATATATATATATAATTGGATTAGAGAATGAAACGTCATGGTAAAAAAGAAATTACTGAAACAATAAACAAAATATTAAGACGTTTGCATAACTACTTTCATTATATATATATATATATATATATATATATATATATATATATATATATATATATATATATATATATATAAAATGAAAGTAGTTATATATATAAAATACACAAACCTGTCATGTAGTTTACGTCGCATAAAAATTATGTAAAATTTAGGTAATATTCTTCTTCTTATTAATATTAATATTATTGTTCGAAATTTCGGTTATAAAGACAAACCTTGAACCTGATATAAGCAATTCTCTCGCCACTTGAATCACTCGTACTTGTATTCATTACTATTATTGTAGTGCTAGTTACAGGGGTAAAAAACGTAGAAGGGAAATTTTATATTTCGAAAAGTAATAATCTCTTGAATTATATAACGGAAGATAAATTGATTCGATTTCTATGGTTTATCAACCCTTTTAGTTAAAGCCAGAAAATATTTTTAGATTGTAAGAATTTTGGGGGGAGATAATAATGGTTTAGTAATATAAGTCTTAATAATTAACCCATAGCTAGTGGGAGAAGAGGCGGATTTATACCTTTCCCAAGGGTATTTGCGCGTAAGTGAATATAACGAACCCAACAATTCGGAGCCATAATCTATTACACCACCTGCACACCCACCTAATATTCACAAGTGGTCATCCATCTAGATACTGACCAGGCTCGACGTTGCTTAATTTCGGTGACCGTACGGGAGCCGGTGTTTCAACGTGATGTGGCTATTGGCTTCGGACGATGGATATAACCTATGGTGGAAGTGTGCCCCCAAAGGCAAGTTTACGAACTTTAATGGACCTAGGGCAGTTGAAATAACTGATCTCTCTTCTGACACAGTTATTCTCCACCGCTTTGCCGCGGCACACCAATGTGCCGTGCGATCCACTGTGCCGCGAAAGTATGATTGGATTCAAAATCCCTTCATAAATGTTCCTTCTAATATTGAACTTCAGTTATGTGAAAAAGAAGAATTGGCCACTATTTCTAGTGATCGGGGGCTCAAAATAAAACATTCGACTGTACCCATTGATACATTTTGGATTTCAATACACACATTCGCTAAAAAGGTTTTATTGAAATGTTCTACTTTTTATTTATGTGAATTATAATGTAATGTCACCAAAACAAAACTAGTGAAATTCCATCACCGAGCGGACCCTGAATTTCCGTCTATCGCGACGACCTGGTATACTCTCAGAGAGCTCCCGTGCCTTGAGCGCCTTTTGAGACTTAAGCTCACCGCAGACCTCAAATGGAACTCGTTCATACGATCCATCGCTAAAGATGATAAAAAAATGGCCGGTTCTCAGTACGGCTCTAGAAAGTACCCGACTCTACCTTTATATATATAAAAAAAGAATAGAACGAGAATGGAGTACTGCTGCTATATATGGGCAGGAGCTGTCCAGTTTTCATTTTCCAGTCTCTATAGAGTTCAAAAGCGTCTACACAACTTTGTGGGTGAAAAAATGTTTTTACTTTACAATCCCTTTTTCTCATAGACGAAGTGCCACAAACATTTCGATGCTCTATCGCTATTTATATGGAAAGTGTTCAGATTGAATGACATTCCTCAGTTCCACCAGTTCAACCTTCTAACCCACCATGCCACAGACATTGTAACCGACCACCCTCATTCTCTTCGCATGGTGAGATATAACTTCCACTCGAATAGCTTCTTCCCACGAGTCACTATTTTATGGAACCGACTCCCAAGAGGATGCTTCCCTGATCACCACAATCTTAACCTGTTCAAGTCTAGGCTTAGTCGTTATCTTCCCCACATGTCTGCATAACCTTCTACCTAGAGTGGCTCTCAGGATTTGTACATGGTGAACATTATTTTAAGCAAAAAAAGAGTTATACAAAAATCCCAATAGAAATAAATATAGCCATTTCAGCTAGTATAATTTACCCAATAGACAACATTTTTAAAACAAATTCTTCTGTTATTTAAAAAAAAAATAATACGTTTCTCTTTTAGGTGGCGAATTCTTCAGATCTCTCGCACATCTCTCTAGTAATATATCCCATCTATATATATTGTCTTTCTTAGGTTTCGACGTCTGAGTGTGTATATATTTATAAAATTTCATTTTCTTTCCTATAATAAACTCATCATTCGCCATTTAAATAATATTTCAATAAAAACAACTTATTTTTAAATACTGATATGAATCAATTGCTGTTTTTATTTCCTCTTTTGTTTGAATAAAGAAAAAAGATTCATTCAAATTTTTGTTTACTTACGAAGCAGCTATGATTTTTTTTAACACAAAAGAAAAACTATTTCTTAAAATGATGAACTCAAAACATTACATTTTTTAAATAATGCTTAGATTACTGGATACGTTGACCTAATAATGGTTGGAGAACGATCGGGCGAAACATGTTGAACACTAGTCTGCATAACTTTGGTGTGCGTTAAGTCGATTAAACTCATGTAAGCTTATCCTAAACAAAATTATTGACGCTTTTTTCATTTCCATTTTCCTAACCCGCCGTAGTATTATTTGCGTGGTCAAAAGTTCATTCTTTTTCCCCCGCCCCAGTATTTCTCGATTTTTGTCAACTATGAAAACCCCCATTAGCCACAAATGATAAGAGCATCTCTGAAAATGAAACTCCGAATGACTTTAAGTAAAAACACTCTAGCTATGAAACTGACACCTGCAAATATTCGGTCGCTAAAGACGAACATTTACATTTGTAAAATACGCATAAGAAACAACAAAGCCAAAGAGAAATACGAAAGAAACAGAAAATAACAAATTTTTCATATTTTTTTTCATATTTTCAATAAAATTTTCGCTCTTGAGAATAAAAAAAAATCTCACTTAAAATAACAATACAAACGAATACTTGTTCAGTCACTTCAAAATATACAGAAACGTGACTAAACTGAAACAAATAAGCAAATGAATTTAACGAAAGCTCTGATTAAAATCCTATTCTTTATAACAATAAGGCGAATTATAAACCTTAAAAAAATAAGTAAAATTCATTAACAATGCTGCAACTGATGGTGGTAATTATTATAAAGAATAGAAATATTAATTTTTAATGAAATAATCATTGTAATAAAACTTTGACACTCCGTATGATTAACCAGTTGCAATAACAAGATGAAGAAATGATTGGAACAGAAGCACTCTCATTAATTACTTGTGTTTAATTACTCTCTCTCTCTCTCGCACACACACACACACAACACAAACACACACTATTAATAATAGCAACAACTGTTTCAGAAGAAATGTAGTAATCTGTGATGGACATTTTAAAATTGAAGCAATCTGTTTCGCAAAAAACAAAACAAAAAACTTTGCTTGTTTTGCATCACCTTGTGAAGTGTAAATCATCACCATAAGATAACATTTGAAAAAATAACAAAATGTAAATATTACGAACTGCTAATCACCAACATTTAAATAAAAGTTTTCATTTTGTTTATCAAAAAAAAAAAAAAAAAATGATCACATGTCTTAGTCATATAAGGGGAAAGGTAATCGGTGTACTTTATTCTGACTGCGTCAGTTAGTTTATTTTTGGGTACTAAGTTTAAGATAGGGAACTTATAGTGTGAATAGCATGATCTATCTGAAAATGTCGATGTCGATGACCTACTAACTTTCATAAAGGTAGTGGATCGGTACTATAAAATGTGAGGATCTGACTAGACATTTATTACTTGAAAGTTGTTTGTGCTACATACATACATACATACATACATACATACATATATATATATATATACATACATACGTTATAAATTTATGGAAATATTCTTTATGCTAATTAAGAAAGAATGGCTAACATTAAAACTATTCTTATCAGACGTACATTTAATTCTGGATTAAAAAAAATAGCAAATAAATTAAATAAAGTATAGGGAGACTGACTCCGACATTAAATAACTCAGTTGAAATGTCCTTAAATCCATTAACCTAAACTAGAGGAAAGAAATGTTAAACTGCAAAATGGATTTAAATTTATTGGTTACATTTTTTTAAAATACACAGGTTTTTATTTATTTATAGATCTGGCCACTTCAGTTTCTTATTCATTATAAACAGGAAAATATTTGTCAGTGTTAATTTAAGCTCGAAGGTATTTTTTCCCTGTTATATGTACTGAACACAATAACGCCAATTCTGCAGCCATTATCAGTCATATACGGTGGTTGTCAATGGTAAACATATTTAAAAAAAATGGCCACACGTACGTACTTATCCATTCACGCACTTAGACACAAGTTATTGTAATGTTTGAGCATTCTGTCTAAACGTCTTTAAACTGTTTGGTTGTTTGTTAATTTGGAGATAATTCTTGTTCAGGTCCACATTTAAAGCAAAAGATGATTTGAAGAAAAACGAGAAATTTTACAGGTAAATGTTAAATAACTCATTTCACTTGAAAATCATGTTTCTAGAAAATTGTCAATATTTTGGATCTTCAGGCTACAAAAGGATACGCGATAATTAAAATTCAGATGAAATTGTACAACAAATTAGATATCTAAGGATGTACGTATATGCATATATATATATATATATATATATATATATATATATATATATATATATATATATATATATATATATATATATATATATATATATATATATATATATATAAGAAATATATATTTATAAGTTGTTCTAAATTTTCTCTTCTTTATCCATTCTTATATTTACTTCAAGGTATGTTCGTAATTCTTCAATGCATACATAATTACATAAGTTGATTTGAGCAGTATAAATGTATATAAATGTATGTAAAATAGGTATAGATACATATGTATTTATAAAAAATGGTTCTTATCGGGTATTATCTTAACTGTTGTTTATATAGACTTGTTCTGCAAGTTGAATTTCAGTTCATAAATTTGTCACCAAAGGGCTCTTTGTTTATTATTTACTTTTATTCCAAAATGAACTGTGTCAACAAGAGAGAAAAGAACGTAAAACAAACAGCCCCAAATTATTTGTTGATTCAACAATGGAGACAGATATTCTCATTTCGAACTCTCTTACTTCATACTTTGCTTTCCTCTTCTTTGGATTGTCGTCTCGGTTGTGCTGAATTAGACGAAGTGTTTGTAGAGTTGGACTGGCCACCCCTCGAGTGAGTACTGCCCTGTTTCAGCTGAGGTTTAGGTGATGGTGGGCGCAGACACTGTGCTAAATTTACGATCTCAGTTTGGATGTTGGCCAGCGCCTGTATGACGTTGAACAGGGCCTTCTGATTCTCCGTCATGAGGCGCCTAATAAACTCGACATCGTCCATCATTTTGTTATTTTCGCGGGTGTTGGATTGCAGATGTTGTAATCTGACGTCAAGAAGCTTCTGTTGTCGTTGGATGGCATCCAACTGCGGAATGGCTAGTGTCGTGGCGATTGGGCCAGAATTACACACTGATGATCGCCGGTTTAGACACCTGGATGCTCCTTTTTTGCGTAGGTGAGACGCATTTTTGGCTGAAAAAAGGAAAAAAAAATGCAATAATTCATCTGTAAATATTTGCATATAAAATAAATTGCATTTATCTATACTGACGTCAATTTTAGACTTTGACAATTGCTTCTCTATGTACCTCGAGGCCTTTATGGATAGGTTTAGCAAATTCTACTTTCCTGTGTCCACTAATGTTCGGATAATTTATTTTATGTGTTGGTTTGCAAATGATGTAAATGTGACTCATCCGAAAGTGGGGTCACTAAGTCAGCAGAGTGTGATACAAGCAATGGTTTATATATAATGGTCGAAATTTCATTGTATGAAGTTCGATCTCGACAAAAGCATTGGGTTGAGTGGATTAATAATAAAGATAATATGTTGAAAAATGAAACGCCTCTTTTAACATTTATTTATGTACAAAGTTTATATAGGAGCACAATGCTTGCATCATTGTGCGCACGAAATTTATAAAAATATCTTTCTTTTCTACAAATGCTATGAACTGATTACAGTACTGCCTCGATTATCCGGACTTCTTGGGAAAAGGGTTGAAAAATGATGTTTGGATAATTCAAAATATGCCATTTTCTGAAAGAATTTCTTATCAAATAACATTTTCAGACGCTTTGTTCAAGGCTTTGTCCAGTTTATATTTAATAAAAAAAAAGAGCAAAATTCAAACGTTTTAGGCAGAATTGATCAACTGATCAGAAATTATTTCTGTCGTTGTTGTCGAAATTATAAATATAACGCGCCAAAATATTTTCCTTTTTATGGATTATGATCATTTGACGGATTTAGATAATCCCCACTTCACTTCGCTTGTTTAGAATTCTTCATACCTTCTTCGATCAATTAGCATGTACAACATGCCAAGCTGTACTGAAAGTGAAACACATTTTAACTGAATGTGCTCATTTAGCCCCTGTAAAACAAAATACTACAAGGAAAATAACATGAGAAAACTATTTGAAAATACTGAAAATGCCAACATAATGTCTTACCTTATAGGAAAATGTTATATCAAAACATAACACCTATAATAGATCATTTACAAACGATTTTCTATAAAAACACACGTTAACCCTGAAAGTATAAAATTATGTACAAAATTTAATTAATTAATTAATTTTAAGTCATAAAATTGTACACAAAATATATTTAGTTGAAACCATAAAGTTGTATTCAAAATATTTAAATTTCGGCATTAAATAACCCATAGAGGTGTTGATATGTCGCTAAGCAAAAACAACCAGACAAAGTCAAACCTTTTTCGTTTATCAAAATATCGCTGACTTTAGATTTCGCTATGATCTCAGCTTTTAAATGTTGCTCTCTACGATGTCAGATTAAATTTCTACTCAACAGATAACATTTTTCATTTTTCTTTTGTTTTTCTTTTGTAGATATACTTGGTATTTATTTATCGGAAACTTTGATTTATTTGCCTTAGTCCTTTGAGTGAGTCCTTTGGTGTTTGGTGTAGCAAAATTTATCCGTTTATAAGCCGGATATTGGTAGTAGTCCGGAGAAATGTCCGTTTCAGCTCGGTAGTCGTACTTTTGAAGTCAGACCGTGCTGGTAGGTAGTAGTTAGTTTAGAAATAGGTCAGTGTCAATCTACTGTGTTTTTCTCGGCCATAAGAATGGCCGAAAATATAATTAGCAAATGACCTTGTAATTACTACTTCATGCATCACGCGTGACTGGTTTCTCAGGCAGTCGCGTTCTATTGTTCCGTGGTTTCTCTTGTCATCCCTTCTTTTCTAGTTCAAAGGTGAGAGCTTATATCTTTTTGACCAGTCTCCGAGACTCTGGTGCGAAACTTTGTTTCGGCTAACATCAAATGTCTCTTTGAGCCAATTTGTTTGATTGGCCAGAATTATTTACCAGCGTTCCTCTCTTTTTCATTTTTTTTTAAGTTATGCGTGGAGCCTCCTTGATTTTATTCAGCTTTTAGTCACAAAAAGTATGCTCTGGTCTCGCAAGCTTCCGCCGTTTTTCGGCCGGGTTCAGTCTTTTCTTCTTTTTATCTAAGAGTTTACTTCTCGTTTGTCGAGAGAGAAGTATTGAAAGAGAAGTATTGAAAGAGAGGTTGAGAGAGAGAGAGAGAGAGAGAGAGAGAGAGAGAGAGAGAGAGGAGAGAGGGTAGAGAAGGGTTTAAAGGAAAGCACAAATGCTTTATTTTAATTCGAATTCTCTTTTTGTTTATATATTTTATTTTTATCAGGACGCAATCGATGTTTTAACATTCGATTTCGAGGACATTTGAATTTCAAAGCGTACGATGACAAAATAAATCAAAACAAGACTCGCGTTGAAAAGTAAACTTTTGAATGTGCTGCTGTCGGAAGTTAGGAAATGTTAACATCGATATTTATTTCACGTCCAGATAATCGAGGAATTACTGTACAAAAGAGCTTTTGAAAACTGACCCTGACAATTGGCATTTGGCTGATTGAAAATGGCAAAGATTATTAAAGATATTTTTTGAATGCTGATTTTAATGAGCATGATAGCATAATGGCAATTATGCGAAAATAATTGATTTGTACAATGTTTTTATTTTATTTATATTTTACTGATAAAGGCAGCACAAATGATTTTTATGAAACTAAACGTGCTGTGGATGGGGAAACGTAGTGAGTAAAAACTTTACAATTTTTATTGTACAATTGTTACAACGAGGATCACTGAAAATTTTGAAACAACATTAAGACTTTTGGTAGTTCAAATTATAAAACAGATCAGACAATAGTTTTACTTTAGTTTAAACTAAGCAGCCCGGTTGTCTTGTTTGGATACAAATAGGCTTCAAGGAAATGACAAGTTGAAATAGGCTTCAAGGAAATGACAACTGGGTGCTTCAGTAGAAGGCAATGAAATAGACATTATTTATTCAAAGAAATTTTAATAAAAGAATATAAAAAAATAAGTTATTTACCAGATAATTTAGCTTCTACATCTTCATCTTCCGGTATAGGCGGCGTCGCGTATGGTATTCTAGATGGCGTTTCCGGTACGGGTGGAGGCCCATCCGGAGGTGTTTCAAATAATTCTATTTCTTCTGCTCGGATATTTGCTACGTCTTTCACTGGGGAAGAAAACGTTTCAGTAATAAAATACAGTTTTTGTGAAATACCAAACACTGAATTATAATAATCATTGAATTCAAATAAATTTCCTCTGCTTTAAAAGTAGAATACACTAGACTTTTACTTTACAGTATTCCTTCTAATGATTCGTTAGTCAATACAAATGGTATAGTTGTTTCAAATATCACGAGCCACACTATGAATTCTTTTGTGCTGCAGAGTATTTGACATAAATCAAAATGGTGGCGCTCATGAGAAATCGTTGTCACACACACGCACACACGCACGCACGCACACACGCACAAACAGCGAGTGGAAAAATTTAATTTTCCAATTTGAGGCAAGGCCGAAATGAGTTTCTTATCTGTTATTTCAATTTCCTCCTCAACAATCTTTGAAGTTGGTTGTCTGTTCGGTGCACTTGAGGATGAAGAGCTTGATCCGAACTTTCAAAGGGCTGATATAATGAGTGACACATTCAACTAGCATGCAATAGTAAACACTACTTCACTTATCACGTCAGGTCACGTGTTCCGTAAAGTATAGGGCGGTAAGGGTCTGGGGCAAGATAGTCCGACGGGACGGACTCCTCTTCAGACCATGTTTCAATTCTACAGTGATTGAATAAGGACAACTAAATCTTTTAAGATAGAAATCAACAATGAAAGGGCTCAAGGTTTACAGGACGCATACCATTAGTGCAAATTCTTAGCATGTTTGTCTCCACAACCAATTTGCTTGTGTCATGAGTATGATTGTCATGTTCACCTCGGAAAAGACGAAGCTGTTTTTAATAAATAACGATACAGTTTCTTTCGTAATTTTATAAATATGGTAATTTTGTATGGAATTTACAATCTTTTTCACAGATATAAAGAAAGCTTCTCTTATGAACTGGAAAATATGTAATTTATCTATTGTTTTGATTTTTATTGTTTTGATTAGTTTTGATTTTGAATTGTCTGTTTAATAGCAAATCAAATCCCCATGGGTTCATTTAATGCTGAAATTTAATTTTCTTGGGAATTTGAAAGTAATAAAAAAGTTATTCTACTTTCACAATTGAATACATGGTACAGGATAGTCAGCTTTTGTGTATATACATATTTGTGTGGACATGATTACTGGAGGCAGTGATATGTGTGTTTTATGTTGGAGTTTTGTTGAATTTTCGAATACAGTTTGATTTAAGAAATTATCTGATATTATATGGATTAATGTCATGAAAGTTCTTTCATCTTGGTAGTTTGGTAGTATCTTAAACGGACGTGTATGAAGTTACTGCAATTTGTTAGTATGTGTTGTTGGTGCTAGTAGTCATTGTACTATAAATATATATTGTTGGTAATTTTTTATATAAAAATGTACTTTTATACTTCCACGGTGTTTTATTTGTGGGGTTCACTATTTGCCCATAGCTGGGACCCTAACAGATGCTACCACCCCCGAGTCAGGGTGGACCTGGGAACAACAGCAATTAAGAGATAGCTCCATGTTCCTCAAAACCTTCAATCTCCCCGATCAGAGGCCTTGCTGCCAGATGTAGTTTATCGTCATACCCAGGACTATTATTCCTTTGATGGATGTTAAATCGCATAACTTTGTAGTAGTTTCAGATAATATCTCAGCTTCTATATTCTAGTGCATTTGAAAGTAAACTTTAAAAATGGAGATATTTTGGGAAAAAATTGTACAATTATTATTTAATAAAGAATTATTGAACAGTTATCAATATTTGTTAATAACATTTTCACTATTACAATAGTTAATTTAAATTAAAAAAAAAATAAATACAAAATACAGACTAATTCCAAAGGAGACTTTTTTTTTCCCAATATGTATTCAGTATTTAAGATAAAATCGGCATTAACAAAAGTCACTTGTCACTTTTGACTGTTATAAAGATGAGTCAGGTTTCAAAACACCACCAGAGGGTTACGACCACATGACGTTGAAACATAGGTTTCCGTACGATCAGTGATGGTCGTTTGGGAATTCCAGGTGGTGTAAGCTTTGGATGTGCGGATGGTGTAATGGATAATGGATTGGAATTTGTTAATATAAGAGCCGAGTTCCAATTTCAGTTGGGTCCGTTATACTCTCTTACAAGCAAATACAATCAAATTGGAAAGGAGTTAAAATCTACCTCTTTTCCACCAGCTATGGGTAAATTAATAAAACTTGTATCATTAAAACCATTATTATGTCCAAATAAAATTACGTAAACATATTTAGATGTCGTCATTAAATAACCTATAAAGGTGTTAATATGTCGCTAAACAAAAAACATCTAATCCACCAACAAACCACACAGAGTTCGCAAAGAACACAAAATCTAATTTTAGTTTTGTGCATATATAATTGAAATTTAATGTTACTCTATATTTCTGAGATGAGGTATTTTAACTATTTACATTGTTCGGACTGTTGTTCGAATGTATTACTACATTCACAACGTTTCGGTTGTTGTACGTTCCGGCCTTATCCAGGTTATTGTTGGAATTTCGAACCGAGCCCAGATTAATCAATCTTTATGTTGGCGTTTCTGAAGATTCGTTTTATGACGTTTGTGTAGATGCTCTTCCCATGTTCATTTCCTGAAATGGTCTTCAGAAACGTCGACATATAGATTGACTACTCTGGGTTTGGTTCGATATTACAACAAATATCAACTGCAGAAGTCCGGAGCGTACAACGGTCGCAACAATAAAGATGAGGACATAGCTCGAACAATATAAATAGTGTGAACTTTAATTATTTGACTGTTTCGAATAAACTTTTATTCTTTCTATTAAGGAATTGTATTCATGTTTCATTATTTCTTATTTGATGCACTATTTTAAAAGAAAAATTCTGCTACACCCTTGAATTTATTTTCTTATGTTATTCGTCTATATTACATTACCATTATTATTTCTATATTACATTATCATTGCGAAATTACTTTTGCTAAAGACATTACTTGTTCGTAAATACTTCATTTATTAAGTTATTGATGAATGTCTATCTATAAACAGCAGGATGTGTGTGTGTGTGTGTAACGAATGCACGGCCGCAATTTTCGACGGATTTGCACCAAAATTTACACGCACATGATCCAAGTTAGCGGGAAGGTCAGAGTGAGAGCCAATAGCTGGCTGCCACGAATAGGCAGGAAGATTCTATTGGCCAGCGAGAGAGCCAACAGCTGACTGACACGAATGTTAACTAGCATGCTAGCATGCAAAAAAATCGATAGCTGCATTCGTCACAAATGGGAAAAATTTAAATCTGCATGACAATTGGCTCATTCGCTTGCTTAAACTCAACGTTGATTCTGATTCCGCAGAACTGGGTTGAGTGTGAAAAAGTATTTGTTGTTAACATTCTTTTTTCATTCGGATTTTCCAGTTACAAGTCCTTTTTTTAAAGCTGATCGTTTTGTGTTCATTTTGTTTAGTTCTTTTTTCGTAACAGATTTAATGTTTAGTATAGAGCTTGTGAGATTGGCAAGTGTGAGATAGGCAAGAAGTAAGGCATGTAGCAACATCAGCACAGCAAAGGGCACTCCTTTAAAGGCAAGGAAGGGCAAAAATATTTTATGTCAAGTGATAGCGATTGCTGTACGAGTCGTACGATTTTTGAATCAAGCACGGGCAACGCCGGGCCATGCTGCTAGTTGTTGATATTCCTTAAATACTTTCTGACCTTTCTATATTCTATAAATATGTAAATTTAGGCATTAAATCACCCATTGAGGATGATATGCCACTAAACATAACCAAACAACGAACATAAAAGAACTCTTTCCATGATATCAATCGATATAATATCGTATTCCAAAATATAACTTTAACAAAACTACAACATAAAACCGCGTCTAGTAATCATGTCCACACAAATATGTCCGAAAGCTGAGTATCATCTACCATGTATTCAATTGTGAAAGCAGAATAACATATGTCATATTTCTATTACTTCAAATCTCGAAATCTTAAATGACCCATAAGGAGTTGATGTGCCCTTATACAAACAAATAAAAAATCATGGCAATTGTTCTGACTAGCTTAGTACCTCGATTGCATGAATTTAAGCGTTATTCTAGATTGGCAACTCGGTTTCACCATTTTACTGTTGAACTAGCTAGATGCAACCATCAGTTCTATTTTAATAGTTTCTGTTCACGGACCTCTCGCCTGTGGAATTCCTTTTCCGATTTCTGGCTTCTCTGTCACCTACAATCTTCAAAAATTTAAATGTAACGTCAATCTATATCTTCTGTTATTGTTCCTTTATTGTCTTTTTTCTTTCTTTTCACTAAATTTTTCTTATTGCCTTATTTTTCTTATTAATTTTCTTATTACAGTGAATGAATCACTGTAACTCTCTGCTTCCTAGTTGCATTATCGCCTTGTTTAGGGTGAAATGATTAAAACAAATAATTTCATTAGTTGTCAGAACAAATAGAATTTTTATTGATCTAGTCATTTTATTCTATATTCAATTTCATATATTTCAAATTAGTGTGAAATTCCGTATTTTTCATGGATTTTTCTGGAAATGAGTTTTTCCGTTCAGATATTGAACCATTAACAAATCTCGCCATATTAGTCATTTTTTAAATCTTTGCCGGGAAAAATCGGGACAATACTTATAATTTAATATCCTTAATTTCAGTTAATTAATATTTATCAAGTAATGGTGATTATTTATGATATTCCCACTAATAATATTAAAACTCACAGCTCATAAAATATTCTTTGAGAACATTGACAATATTTTAATTCGTTCATAAGATCACATGTATGGCAAACATTTGGGATATACCTTGTCCATCCTCAAATCTTGACACGTTTTCTTAAAAAAATAAATCAAAACATGAAACTATTTATTTTTACTTACCGTTTTCTTTTTCATCTTTCGCTCTTTCTAATTTGAATAAATATCTTTTAACCAATCGATGCATAATATCCGTGTACGATGTTTCTTCAGTTTTTAATTCTAGATTTTTGCAAACAGTATCTCTGCGTTTCTGCAAATCATAAAATCGAAAAAAACATATCATAGAATTCAAACGAGATTGTTTTGAGGAAAGTGCAATTATATACGAGGATCCTTCAAAAAGCAAAATGTCTTATTTAATACAAATTTCATAGTATAAACAAAACAGAAATGAACAAAAAAGTTTCAGTATTCCAAGTCACTCATCTACATAGTTTCCTTCCTTCACAATCTTTGTACGACGGTTGTTTAGACACTAATGTCTGTTTTTGATTAACAATTCCGCTGCGATGGACGTACATATACGTCTTTCTGCAACTTAAGTTGTCTGCTGTCGACCTATATATCCGTTTCTAAAACACCCTGAAATATCGGTTCCAGCGTTTTTGTTAGGAAATAACTAACGCTTTCTATTTGCAAACCAGCGTAGACATCTAGTAGCTTACAATACAACATGTTTTGTGGCGTATTTTTATTTTATTGTGTGCTGAACGTGTCGTTTAGTTTAGTCTATACTGTAAACTATCGAAACTAAAATGACGGCGCTATTGCCGAATCGCCGTCAATGTCTATATAGTCATTTATTTCCAGTCAATAGCAATTTCCTATTTTTCCAAATGGGCCAGCACACCCAAGCAAAAATGCTATAAAACTGCAGCAGTAAAAGTGTTAATTACAACCAACGGAATACTAAAATCACACAAAGCCCATCAAAATGAAGTTTAAGAATTCCAAATCTCTTTCTCGGCACATTGGCCCCTCCTTTTAAAACGTGGTCTTCCGCCTTTGAACAAGAAGCTTATTGTCTGCTTTCATAGCTATGTGTCAGTTGCGTCTTTCATCTCATCATCATCGGAGAACAACTGACAAATGAAATCAAGATCTCTTTCATAGAATCTGTCAGCATTCTGAAAACATTTGCATAGATTCTTGAGTAGCCATAACACGTCTCACCTTAATACTTTCACAGTTTTTTTGTAATAGTAATTCTTTTGTCAGCTGTAATGAGAACATCCTCACTCATAGCAGCAGCTGTCTTGCCGCTGTGGGGCCTGTCATTAAAGTGTTTCTCCTTTTTCTCTGAGTTTACCGTTAATGTTATTGATTCATCTCTTCTTAGTTGATATCAAATGCAGCCTTCCATAAACATTCAGTGACTGTCTGTGGATATTTATTCTTTTAAAAACAAATTCTATGATAGTTCTTTGCTTTATAGGGGCAATCATTTTGAAAAATGATTGTGGGTTGGAAAAGAGAAGATATTTTAATAGGTTTTCACCTCGTCTTATACACACTTCATGGTTTATAGGTTTAAAAATCCTAGGAATTATAATTATTTTAAAATTAAATTAGAACAGGCATTACTTTTTGACCGATGTGAGTGCAATTGTAAAAAAAAATGTAGTTTATTTTCTACGTCTTGTCTAAAAAAAGAAGAGAACAAGTCCAATGAATGGAAAAATGAGTTTCAACGTGTTTTGAAAGTGAACAGATAAATTTGTAATGTCTATTCTTATCAAGATATACAATTTATAATAGAGCCACGTATCACTTTACGGCTTACATGATCAGCTATAAAATATTACAAAATAAAAATCCAGTCATTCGACTTTGATCATTGTGGCTTTCTCTTTTTGGAAAATATATTTAAATAAAAGAATAAAGTGAAAAATAAATAAAATTTTTCATGTACTGTATTCACAGTATGCAAACTGAATTGATGTACAGAATATGGAGCTGATTTTCGAATTTGTTTATTGCGTTTACTGTTCAGTACACTATTGTAGTGTATAAACATTTAGAAATAAATTAGAAATGTTACAAATGTCACAAAAAGAAACAAAGTACAATTTCTTAGTGACCAGAATTTTGTCGAGGAGTTTGGCTGTTAAGTCAGGAGTCAGTGTATTTCGATTTGTACATTTTCTGTTTTCGTCTAAAGATTAAATTACTGAATACAAAGTTTGACACAGACTTGAAGAGTTGTCTTTCTCCTTTTAACTATTTTACTAGTTTTTCTTTCGTATATCTGCGTCTCAAGTTAAACATTCTAATCAAGGACAAAGAAATGATGATTTTTGAAAGATTTCAACAAGATGATTTTTTGCGAGCATCCTCTTCAGGAACCCGTACATTAAGCCAAAAGAATAAAATAAATAAAAGTATATATTATTATTATTAATATACAGCGTGTAGACAACTGGAGATGAAATATAGGTTGGCTCTATTCGGGGAAACTACTGCCTGACTGGGAACATATTTAGTAATAATTTTATTTTATTTTTTATTTTTTTCATTTCCCCACTTATATGACTATTGGGTAATTTATTTCTTTAATAACAGTTGTTGATAATAATTTTTCTTATCAGATTCTCTGTTTTATATTGTTGACGATTTTGTTTCTGCGGAAGTGTCGATCGAAAGGCACCTAAAATGTTTTTCTTAAACGAGATACTTTTGTATCTATTTTAATAATAAAAAAATATGAACCTTTTCCTTAAAGTTATCTTGTCTTGGTGTGGCAGTAACAAAAATTTGTATATATATTTAAGAATATCATTGTATCTTTTATAGAAGAAACACATTTCTTTAATAAAATGCAAATGTGTAAAGTAAGAAAAGAAATAACAAATGATTTTCTTGAAGATAGCGCGGTGTTTGAGGAAAAGTTAGGTTGGTTAATTAAACGGCATATCAGCACATTTTGGGCCATTTCATGGAGAATATAAATCTTATGGATAAATTATCACGATGAATGAAAATAAAGGTTTACACTATAGTAAAAAAAGGTAGATATTATTCCGGTTATATGAACTGAACATGTGAGCAACGATAAGTTTTAGAGAAAATGGAAACAAAAAGGACACTTATACTTAACATCAAGGCGCATAATGAGGAAAGAGTGCTTAGAAAATTGATTCTCCCAGGACAGATGAAGGACAGAGGAAAAACATAACCTACGTAGGGAGCTTAAATAAATGGATGGCATAACATGGATTAGGAGAGAGCTATCAAAAAGACAAAATTTATTAAGAGCTACAACGAACATGAAATTGTGGTGAGCCTTGATCATCAATGACCCGAAGAAACAAGGTACATAGAGGGGGAAGAAGTTATTTCTGTTAGCCGTGAATCATTGTCCGAAGTTAATTGTAGGCGACAAGCTAGATGTTTACACGGCGCCACTTTCAGATCAGTGTAGCGCCCATGAAACACCTCTCTTGTAACACAATATTGAGACAGGCTTTCCAGTTTAGTCATTAACAGATTTCTCTATAAAAGTGATAATAATTTTTTCTAAATGTCTGACAGAAAACGAGAAATCAGTTACAGGAAAACCAGTTTTATCAATGACCGATTCATGGAAATTAATTTGATCTTTCGAAATTTGTAATGATGGCCCAAAACATTTCACCGATTGTTATTTGTCATCTGCATTTTTATTTCTCTGTCGTAGTTGCATTTCTTCCTATTTACGTTGACACGAATATTCACATCTCCTACGTTGACTCAAAGTTACCGCTTGTGATTCACATCGTGTCCAACAATCCATTCCCCTTAGTGTTTCTGAAAATACTTTTTGCTCATGAAACAGAATTTTTTATTAACTTGGTGACAGTGTTTATTTAGCTTTAGAAAATAAATTTTACTGAATTTTATTTCGAAACTCCACAATTTGCCGAGTTGAACAAACCATATGAATATCCATAAAGAACAGAAAATATCATATCCCTTTTTGTATGTATACAGGGCCGCGGTGCAAGGGTCTCGGGAGCCCTCACTGAATCTATGACATGCCTCCTCCACTGAATCTATGACATGCCGCCTCCACCGAATCTATGACAAGCCTCCAATAGTATTCATATAAAATACAAATTTTATTGTAACTTACAATAATGGATCATATGCAATATAGGCGAACAATTCAACAAGAAATATTAAAAATATTAATTTAGGATGGAATGCTCTATTATGACATTTGTATTTAAATACATTGTATTTAATACAATGTATTTAAATACAAATGTCATAATAGAGCATTCCATCCTAAATAAATAAACAATGTTTTGTGACGATTTCTAACTTGAGCTTGAGTTTTTCTTGTTTAAAAGCTGAATAAATTTAACATATTCAACATTATGAATAAAAAATATTGAATTTATTTTAGTGCTTTTTCGAGACTTAGCATGAGCAAAATAAATTCACGGGTTTGGACGAAAACAAAAAAAAATCAGAATGGCATCAAAATCCGCTAAAAATTTCCATTCTTTGATAGTTGTAACGTATATAAATGTAAGCAGAAAAATTAAATGTTGGCAAGATAACGAGGGTTAGAAAGCCCTGATAGGAGCCCCAATCAAGATTGCTCCCTCTAGGTCGGGAGTTCGCGGATAGTACTGGCCCTGTAAGTATAGTTATGAAAATGAAATACCTGACTATGTTTCGACTATAAAATATATATTCTTTATATTGAAATGATGTTTTTTCTATTTCAAATAATGCTTGTTAAATGCAATTGGTATAGGAATTTGAAAGATAATATTTACTAAATTCTTAGTTTTATGTTTTCTATTAGTTCTCTTTGAGTTATTCTCTTCTCTCACAAGCCTCTCTCTCTCCCACAAACCTCTCTCTCCCACAAACCTCTCTCTCTCCCACAAGCCTCTCTCTCTCTCACAAGCCTCTCTCTCTCCCACAAACCTCTCTCTCTCTCACAAGCCTCTCTCTCTCCCACAAACCTCTCTCTCTCTCACAAGCCTCTCTCTCTCCCACAAACCTCTCTCTCTCCCACAAACCTCTCTCTCTCTCACAAGCCTCTCTCTCTCCCACAAACCTCTCTCTCCCACAAACCTCTCTCTCTCTCTCTCTCTCTCTCCCAAACCTCTCTCTCTCACAAACCTCTCTCTCTCCCACAAACCTCTCTCTCTCTCACAAGCCTCTCTCTCTCCCACAAACCTCTCTCTTCCTCAAGCCTCTCCCTCCCTCAAGCTGAAATACTACATTCATTAAGTTTAATAAATGTTATTGTTGAATTTAAAATCTGCATGTCTCCTTAAATAATTCCTTTAGCTGTAGTCATTCGTATCGGAACAAAATGGTTTTATTCTATTCCGGTCAAATTTACTATTTTTAATGGTTTTCTAGAAATGACGAGTTGCGTTCAGATATTTTTTTTTCTGAGTTCTAAATGAATAGTTTTTATGGAAGAAAATAAATGGCAAAGCTACATATAATTTTGGCTGAATTTTATTTTAAATCTCAATATTTCTTTTTATTTAATGTGGAAAATGAACGGCACAGTTTCTTGTAAATTTATCACGTGCCTTTCATGGCACATCAGCCAGTTAAATCTCTAATGCCAGAAGTGAGTAAGAAAACGATACTGCGATTGTGTGAGGCTCAGACTGACTCGTTGTACAAGTATTAACAGACTGGAATTCATTAAAAGTTTTTAGATATTGAATTATTCATAATTATTTTACTTCAGCAGAATGACACTTTATATTCCAAAATTGTTTTGAAAATATATTTACATTAATTTTTACTTTTAATATTTTTGATATTTCTTTCCAAACCCCCGCGCGACCCTCGGGTGCATCCTTGTGTCCCTTATTTAGTTTGTGATGATGAGTTCAAGAATATCAATTAATAAGATTTTTGATAATGAATAGGACGTTCTGTTTCACTTTGTTTATTGAAGAATTGCCTTTTCAACTCCCCAACTTTTATAACTGCAACTTATTGCAGCTTTATAACAAGCACATAATTTGTAACTTTGAAAAGAAAAAAAGACAGTAATTTTTTTGGTTTTGAATTAACAAAGTTAAATCTGACATTTTTTTTATTATTTTGACAGTGAAAGAATTTTAAAAATAGAATAAAAATACTTTTAAAATATAAAAGTTTAATTCATTGTTTAAGATCATTATTAGCAATGACAAAAGCTCACAATGAAGGTTATTCTTTTTGGTGAAAGAACCTGACATTTTGGACAAAAAATTATGATAGTAAATTGATTGTTTTTCTATTTTAAAAGATTTAACCATAAAAAGTGTTCCAGTAATCCTGGTTAAATCGAAATATTCAGATGTTAAGCCGACTGATTTTCGAGTTTTTGAGTGGGTATGGGCTTACATTGTTATTCTGAAGAACATATAGTCTGTGATTCATGACAGACTGAACATAAGATATACGCATATAAGACAACCGAATAACAGGAAATTATGTAAACGTCTCAGTTATGAGGAGAGAAGCAGAGTCTTTATCTCCACTCGAGTGTAAGATCGAACGTTCAAAGAAAAACTTGAAATCACATATCCCCGATTCGTATTTTTATATAACGTTACTAACAAAACGTTACAAATGTAATGATGTCTTACTGTTCGCTTCTTCTATAATGTTTTTGAAATGTCACGTCTCTTCCTTATATCAGAAATTATGACTCCCTTCAGACTGTTTTTCTTATCTGTGAACTGTATGAACTTCTTCGGAAAGATAATGGAGTGCTTTCCTGTTGTTTTTTTGACTGATTTGAATACAGTGCATTTTTCTTCTAGAATGACTGCAACTATAGGCTAGATATCCCAGATATGCTATTTAAACGATACCTGGGAGGGAAAGAAACGACATCTTTTGTGAGAAAGTAGGCTAGACATGAATTTGAATTGTGTTCGTCGATTCTACTTTCTAGAGAGTCCTTTATCTTTCGTGCAAGAAAGTTGGAAGTTTGAAGAAAGACACGAAACGATATACAATTCGATTCAGTCGACGTTAATTTGAAAGAGTTCAGAAGTGAATAAATTATTTTACGTCAGAAAAATTTAGTCTCGTATTTTTCTAACACATTACTAACATAACAGATATAATTTCTATTTGCCAAACGAAGATATGTTTTGCGTAAATATTCATTCTTTACTCGTTTTTGACAAGCAATATTTGCAATTTTCATATGTTCTTCATTACAGTCTATCATATTCCATTATTCACCAAAAAGCTTACAATGTGAAAGTTTCTAGGTTTTTCGCCAAGAATCTCAGATGCATTTAATAAAGAATAAAATAGTTGCACATTGGGTTTATGTCATTACTAATGATGACGATCCTGTTCTTGACAAGTAAATTTAAACTTTGTTAGAATTGTATACATTTTTAGTCTGTCAGAACAAATATAACATTGCGAATTATTTCATTTTTATTCAAGTGGCACAATGATCGGATCTGTGGGTAGCAAAATAAATGGCTTGTGAGTTATGTTGGTACGTGTGAATAAGAATATTAGTTGGTTCAGCATCGGTTTTCTTTCCACTCATTTTGTTCAGTCTTGTCATTGGTATGCCACAACGGTAAATAGAAAGTAGTTAGTACGCGGAAAGTTTGTTCTCCTAAATTGTCTTATCTGTTCTGATAATGAAAGAAAAATAACTTCTATATCTCTTGTTCGTCTTAACAGATGGTGGCAAGTAATTTACATATATTTTTTCTTTAATGACGTTCACCTAATACAAGACCAAACAGCCACTCAAAGTAGTGAATGGTGTGTGGTATAGACATAAGAAGATGAATTATGAGCATATGGAAAATCGATAACGATTGACCCTAGACTTGATCGTAGTGTTCAGGAAAGCACATATGCGTTAAGGACTCTTTGGAAGAAGTGAAACTTACTTCTTACAAACAGAATATGAAGGGTATGATGGTGATTCGATCATGTGATCGTAGGCACGGCATTTCTTAGCTGTAAAGGTATGAATTGGTAGCACTAAATATCGAAGCTCGTCTGAACATTTGCCATGGAAATAGTAATCGGCCTGCAACGTTTGGCCAGGACGCCAAAGTAACATTAAAGGGTAATTCAAATGTGAAATTTGGCTTGTAGATTGGTATACTGATTGAAGTGTTTAAATTGCTGCGTGTGTTACCTTAATAAATGTTTGTTTTCGAGCTCTTTCTAAATCAAAGAGTCCTTCTGAATGCGGACTGAAGAGCTCTTTTAAAAATGCCCATGTGTACAGAAAGGATTTTGGTGTTGGTATCATATTAAAGGGTACGGGTAGAGTGCTGCCATCATCCATGTAATTCATCCACAATTTTGTGCGAGCAAACTTCCATTCGACGTCACAATCTCCCTACAAACAGAAAAAGAGAAATGTTACAAATTATAAACCAAATAGCGAAATATTAGACATGAGTAAAATAGGGAATAATATAAAAGGTGGAAAAAGAAGGTAAATATAAAGTTATAGGAATCTTTTGAAACAGAAATGACTGCAACGTACACTTGCAAATATATTCATATCTTCATAGGTTTTAAAGTTTTGTGAAATCAATCAGTGGAATGGATTCCATTCTCATTGCCTATCAGACTAGTCAGTTCAAGTGTCAGTCAAAGTTTTATAAATAACTACCGTAAATTGAGTTTTCAAGCCTAAAAATCTTTTTTGATCATAGTTTTGGGTCATAGTTTTGTTCTACCGTATATTTGGTGGTCGACCTCTACGGTAAGTATCGGCCTAACTCAGAATTTTGGACTTGGATGCCAGGTCGAGTAGTACGCCGTAATTTACAGTATTAGAAAGTGCAATGTTATTTCAACTTTAAGAGCACCTATCATGGCGTGATGATTACCAATTTTGTCTCCTAGTTCATTTCCCCTGGTGCCTAGACTACATGAATTTAAGCGTGCTACTAGATTGACATTTATATCCTACGCTTTTTACTGCTGAAATAGCTAAATGCAACCGCAACTTCTACTCCAACAGATTCTTGTCTCACACTCCCACCTATGGAACTCCCTTCCGTTTCCTTGCTTCCCTGGTAACTACAATCTTCAAAAATTTAAATGCAACGTCAATATTCTGTCTTCTTGAATCCCGTTCATCTTTTGTCCTTTCCTCAATCTTCCCTATACTCAGTCTTTTCTCTCGCTTTCGCTCCCTATAACCCCCTGCGTACTACTGGCATTCCCGCTTTGCTTGGGATGAAATAATAAAAAAAAAATTATTTTAAGGTACATCTATGTTTTTGTCTCTGCTGTCAAACGGGTCTCAAGTCATTTTATAATCCATTTTTGTTGTCGACGTATAATACTTACATTCAACATTAATTAACGCAATAAATTTTGATATGTTGTTAAATTAATGAAGCTAATCAATAAAGTGTGTGTTTAGTTGTATTCTACCAGATGAGGCAAAGATTAGAAAATAACAACATATTTGCACGTGTGTATGCGTAAAAATGAAATGGGGAAAAATATAGATCAAATATGGATTAGAATCCGACGGAACAAATAGGAAACGTTTATAAATCTAACCTGTTTTACACGTCACCATAAATTTTAGCATGGTAGAGAAAAGAAAATTCTGGTATTTTTATTTTTGTGTTGTTTGTTTTTCATTGGTTAAGCAGCATTCATATGTATAATACATGTGTGAATGTCTATCATAATTCTAATTTGTCTATGCGGGATTCTGTTGATAATGTGTATTTGTTTGTGTGCGTTTGAGCGTCTAGTATGCATTTTAATCTACGTTTGTTAGTTGTCCGTACGTTGAGTTAGGGAAGTTTTATGTGAGCGTGAAAGAATTTAAACATTTTAATTAGACACATCGAAAACCCTGCAACAAAGCAGCAGCAACTCCCTTTTCAGCTTTTGGGCATGCGTAAAAAACAACTAACTGGAAGCATGCATGCTGTGAGTCCCAAGAATGTAATTGTCTCTTTCACGTTGCAATTAGCAACCCCTTAATAGACGTACATGGCTTAGAGCAATGTTTTTCAACTTTTTTTTTATTTTTATTTTTTTTACTTCACTTGTAGAATAACTAAAACTCTGAGGCGCACTTTAAATTTTAATAAAGAAAGATTAGTCATAATATTGGAAAACAGAATAATAATAAAGAAGTTTCCTGAAATAAGCATCCAATACATTACATTGTATCTATTTACGCTACAGTTTTTATTTAAAGGAATGTATAAAGAATCTGCTGTTTTTATAGTGTACGATAACAACGCGTAACAAAATTTTGACATTTTTTTGTTTTTGGTCAGTAAATGTTATTTCCTAATTGCTTCTGCCTAGAATGCAAAGGAAATGACTATTATTCCATTCAAACATTGCCTTTTAACCTGGACACCGAGATTTTGAAACTAACCTATTTTTTCAAGAAAGATTCAGCGCTGAGTTGTTGAAAGAGAATTTTCTAGAAGTTTCAAGAACTTTCGAAAAGTTTCTAAAAGTTTTAAGAAATTCTAGAACGTTCTGCCAACATAGATGGCAGTATAAATACAGAGAATATAAGCATAACAATTCAGTTTACTTTCTAGCTGTGCAAGTGCAGACAAGTGCATACATCACAGATGATATCGAGAAGTTGTAAGTTATGTCTGTGGCGAATTTATCAAGACAAGAGCAAAAAAGTACTCTTTGGCAACATTTGCTAAAATGGGTGAAGCCAACAACGCATATTTCGGTATACTTGTCGGGCATCAAGACAAAACCCCGGGTACCTCATTAAACCTGCGAACTCTGCAAAAGAAGATGGAAAGTTTTTTAATTTAAATTCTTTTTTTTTTTTTTTTTTTTTTTTTGAATCAGTGTTATTGAAAATTGTGTATTGAATATGTTTCAGCAATCGCGCATTCGTGTTCACATTGTCATGGATGTTTTCTATACTGGATCACTGGCAAGAGCCATAAAAATACAGAATATTAGGGATGTTCCGTATTCAAGATTTCGTATTTTTGTGTCATTTGCTACATTAACTGGGGTTCAAATTCAAAATTTTATATATCCAGCGTAACGATTTTTAGAAACTTCAAAGATGTAATTTTTTAGAATTTTTCAATAACACTGGGTGAAATATATTTTATTTTTATACTAATATTTTTACTTTGCTCTTTTGCATGATGGTACAGAGTGGAAAATAGAGCCCTGAAATTTGCAATCCCACGAATCTGGAGGGAACCAACTGACCAATCAAGCAATTACTTCTTCTGCACGGTGGACCCTTCCAAACGTCGAGCTGGCAAAAATGGACCTGCTATCCTATATCCAGTCCTTCTGTCATTCATCGTCACAGTGTCATACTGCCCTGATCTCCCCGTACTCACTTCCCAAAAGAGATAACAGCAGAGTCTTCAGATGAAAACATCAGAGTTCAGCAGAAAATGAAGTCATTGATCCACAGATTTACACACAGGCGCAGCTGAGGAGAGAAACGCATACTACCCTAAAAAAAAAAAAAAAGACCTCACGAACTGATCAAAGGTCTTGGTCTCACAAGGTCCAATGCCGAGCTTTTGATGTCGAGACTCAATCAATGGAATTTGTTAGATGAAAGGGTGCAAGTCCCAGTATTTTTCAAGCTTTTTCATACATCAAGAGGGGCTTTACTTCTGCCACAATGTGACCGGTCTGTTCTTTACTCGGTGCAGTTCAAAAGGAATACAGCAGTGTCAAGATTTTGCTAGAGGCATTGAAATATGAAGAGTACGGTTAGGTGGTTATCAGAGACTTAAAAATAGTAGCCTTGTTAATGGGTTGCCAGTGCGGCTTTACCAAGTTTCCGTGTTATCTTTGCATTTGCCTCTGCCACAGCACTGCAGCACAATATCACAATAGGTGGGACTGGTCACAGCGGACTGAGTTCACTGTGGAGAGGAACAGCGTCAAACGAGAACTGTTGGACCCTCTGAAAGTATTGTTTCGTCCACTACACTTAAAATTGGGCCTTATAAAACATATTGTCACAGCCTTCGAGCACCTTTAAAACATTTTCCCTATGCTGTCTCTGTCAAAAGTCAAAGCTGGCGTCTTCGTCGGGTCATAAGTAAAGAAGAGTGCAAGGAATTCTCCAAGAAGTTCATTAGAACGGAGAAAGTAGTACGGAACAGCTATGTCGCAGTGGTTCGGGGTTTCCTGGGGAATGACAAGGCCGAAAACTATGTGGAGCATGTTGAGACCCTGGGGAAGAACTACGGCAAAATGGGTTGCGGGATGTCCCTATCTCCTTGACACTCATCTGATGAGCAAGGCGAGCGCATCCACCAGGATATTCTGGACTTTGAACGCCTCAACCAAGGATCGTATGACGAAAACATGATGGGAGACCGATTCGTAAAGGTCATTTACAGTATAAGCGTAAATCACGAAAAAATAATCACTTCTAATTTTTTTGTGGTCTCTCTTGTGTAGCCTTAGAATACATAAATGCAACTTTTGAATTAGATGTCGTTTTGCTTCCTACTTTGCGTGAACGAGAATATTTGTCAGTTTCCCCAAAAGAAATCGGTAAATTTCAGAAATATCATTATTCTGATCACAAAAGCAAAGTTTGAAAGTAATATTAGCCATTTTTCATACTTTCTAGCAAATAGGAAATAGCAGTTGCTATCCAAGGACAGCAATTGTGTTACATAGTGGTTAAATCTTTTGAGGAAAGCAAATGGGAAAGGATTATCCACCTCTTCTTAAAAATTAAGGAATTTATCATCTAATTTAAAATATCAAATGACAAAGAATTGACATAGACATAGACGCCATGTGCTGGGTTCCTTTAGCTTTTTAAAAATAAAGATTTTATTTTAATATAAAAATAATTAATACATTACTCTTCTGTTAACTTGAGGCAGACCTGGCTACCTTTCAAGGCGTACCGGTTAAGAAACGCTGGCTTAAACACTACACGTCACTCACTGTTTAACTCATAAAAAAAAGTAACTTTTTCTTCATTTTTATACAAAGTCTTCCTTGAACTATTCTAGAAATTTTTTCTACGCAAAAAGTTTCCGGTTGAATAAAAACTTCTATCTCGTTTTGATGCACGAACACTTCCTCAATTTCTGCTAAGAAAGACGCACACAGTGCGATGCTATCTTTGGAAAATTTATCATTATTACTCCGCAATTTAATGCCAATAATATAAGTATCAATATTTTTTATTAGACCAAGCCTTTTATTTCTTAGAAAATCTAAAGGACTCAATCAAACATTGATTAAAATTGTAATATTCATTTTATTTCTATTTTTCTTGGTATTTTCCCATGAGTAATTAAAACGAAATGAACCCCCGCCCTGTAAACCTCAGCCGAGTTTGTAATTTGTCTGTAACAGAAGAAAACACTTCGGGAACAGTTGCATCCAATAAGAAATTGCTACGTTACTCGAGTGGATTGGTTTGTGAAACGTGCTTGCTAAACATCTCACCAAAGTCACGACACAGTAGAACAAAATCAATAACAATGAAGAAGGCTGATGTATCGGTCGAAAAGTTTTTTTTCTTATGCGGAGATCGTAAATCTGCCTGAAGGAAATCCAAAGTGAAAATGTTTTATGAATTTACCTGAATGTCTTCAAACGAATGACTCATCATGGCAATCAACATGTTTATTAAGACGATGATGATTACCACGTGATATATACCAAACAGGAACATGCCGACGCTTTCCACAATTGCTGTACTTTTTTCAACTGGCAGATTGCCACTACCTGTAAACGAAGAAGAGAGAGAGAGAGAGAGAGAGAGAGAGAGGGGGGGGGAGAGAGAAAAGCACAATTATTTATTTATGACGAAATTGAAGTTAAACAATGGCGAAAAAATCGCTGTTAATTGCTTGAGAATATATTTATTTTTATATAAATTTTTGTTAATTAAAAATAATATCCAAGACTATCGTGTTTTTCTTTTAAATATAGTGAATATGCTGAGTTGAATTCCGATTGTTTTCGAGTCCACAAACACTCGCGCATAAATTCTTAAAGACGTGTTGAATACAGTCCAAAATTTTTACAAATTACACACCGAGAGAGATATTGCAAGTTAAAGGATTTGTGCTGAACTGTCGCCAGAATATCACAATTAATCCAAAGCTACACGTGGCTACTTATTTATTTATAAAAGAATAACCAACGGATATGAAGTATTGTCAAGGAAAAAAAGTAAATAGAATGTCAAAAACGATCTTCAGGGCAGAAGGCAAAGAGCGTTGATGAAGTATTCGGTAATGTGTGAGTTAAAAGTTGCTTTCACTTAGCAATTAGTGCAGTTAGGGTTTTATTTGAATACTTCATCTCCATTTTCTTGTGATATTTTAGTCCAGCTTAAGAACGAAACATTTCAGGCAATTCTGATCAACCACGGCCATAAACATTCATAGCACATTAAATCAACAATATCTTTATTTAATTCGATATTTTGAAAACATATGGCAGTTATAACAGTTAATAACGCCATGCACGCTGATTTTCACCAAATATTAGGCAATTTTTGGAGATGTGTGGTGAGCAACAAACATAACAAATAGGATAAATAATAAATAATTTTGCTTGCAGTGAAAGTAGAAAGGCTGTGTTTATAGTAAAAAAATAATTTGTCTCGACGGACATGGCGTTAGCCGGGAAAGAGTATGTTGACTAAAGTGCTGGAGAAGATAAGCAGTTATTATGATTGAAGATAAAGCTGAGAAAAATCTAAACAAACGGACGCTTATAAACTTCCATGACATTGTAACTATGAAAAAATATATTTAGTTTTATTATTTTAAATTGAAAAAATTAATTTGAAAATATTTCAGTATAAATATATTG